ATACACTGCTGAGGGGAGCAGCGGGCGAGACAGGAGAGGTCTGCCTCGCCATGTGGGTGGCTCCCTGGTCGGTTGGGGATGGAACTCGAGCTGCAGAGGCTGTGGATTGCTTCATAGTGCGGTGCTTAACCCCTTGCGCCACCAGGGAGGCCCAGCTTTGTCCTTTGATGCCAGGACAGTAGTTATATTCTGGAACCCTGGCCCAGGCTGCCCTTCCTGTGTGGGATGATTCTTGAACAACTGCTCAGTTGGCCAAATTCTGTCCTAAGCCTGGGCACAGCTCTCCAATTCCGGGCTGAGGCCAAGGGGAGAAGTCGCGGGCCGCCAGCGTGTGCGCCTTCAGCAAGTCTGAGGGCTGTTTACAAACACACAGAAGGCTGACTTCGCGCCCCAGACCTCAGGCAGGCCTCTGGCTTCGGGAGGGTCGTCTGGCTGAGGTCCTGATGAAGACCCAAAGAAGGGGGAGGAGATGCTGAAATGGATGGAAAGAGAGGCTGGCTTTCAAAGCCTTTGGTGTGTAGTTTCCAAGCGTTTTAAATTCTTAATTCACACCTCTCTGGTTATTATCACCAGCGTAGCCAAAGGCACTTTTTCTTTTGGCTTGGATGTCACTTTGCCTTTGCGCCTTCATAGTGGGGCGCTTTACCTTTAAAAGAAAAGGTAACCAGCCCTGCGACTTTCAGCCTCTCTGGCGACCCTTGCTGCTCCACAGATGTTTGTTGAATGAATAAATGAATGACTGAATGGGTTCTCTTGGAAAAGTTCACAGAAATCTTTACTTTCAGCCAAGTTTCCCCTCCTTAAGATGGGCGTGATGCACATGTGCATGGAGAGGGACACCGGTTTTAGGATGTTTTGAAAAAACTCTCAACCAAAATACCATCTGAAATGCAATGTTAACCCCCCCCCCATGCTACCTTCGCTTTGAATAACGTGGGGCATTCAGCTCAGAGAGACGCACGGGGGCCGGGATGCTCCGCAGGTCTGCCCGGCCTTGGATCCGGCTGCATCCGACCGGCAAAGGCGTCGGCGGCGGCCGGGGGAAGCCGGGGGAAGCGGCCTGGCGCTTGCCGCCCCCCTGGGGTCTGGCCTTGGCGGATGCGGGCGCCAACTTCGGGGCGGAGAGACCTGGAGGCCGGCGCTCCCGGGTGCCCCGCGCAGGTGCCGGGCCTGAGCGCGGGGTGCACTGGGGTGCCGGGGGCCCGGGAGACCCGAGAGAGACGTTATTGTTGCACTGTAACGAGTCTGATTAACATGCTCCTGACACTTTCTCTTAGTTTCTCGGGCTCCTAGCAACAGCGCACAAAGGCGCGGGATTGTCCCGGGCTCCGCGGGGACACGGGGCAGCCTTTGATCTGCCACCATTACAGCGGGGCTGCGCGACAGGCGCGCAGGCTCCGGCGGCCCGCGGCGGGCGAGCGGGGCCCGCAGTCCCGGCCCGCTGGGTCGCCCGGATCGCCGGCTCCCCCGGCCCCGCCCGCCGCCGCCCGGCCGGCCCGGGCGCCCCGAGACCGCAGCGCGCGGGCCCGGCCCCGAGGCGCCCAGGGCCGCCGCGACTCCCGAGGGCGCGGGCGGTGCCTCCCGGCCCGCGAGTGTCCAGGGCCGCGGCCCCGCCGGACCTCGGGCCCCGGGGGGCGCGCGCGGGGGGCGGGGGCCGGGCCCGGGCGCGCACGTCCTTCCGACGGGGCGCGCGGTCTGCGGCTCGCCACGTCCTGCCCGTCGGAAGAAGGAAACCGGGACACCGCGTCGGCCACTTACAAAGAAAAATACAAACGTAAAAATAAGGAAAAGGAGGGGCGCGAGGGCCCAGGCAAACCCCAAAGATTTTGTCAAACTGCTTTGAAAACTACAAAACCCGCAGGCTTCGCCGAAGCTGGGCTGGCGCGGCCGCGCGGAACCGGCACGAAGGCGCCGAGGACGATCTCGGGTCCCTCCTGCGCGCCCCTCGCTCTGCCGCGGGCGGGTCTCACGGGCAGGAGGGAAACCTGCCCGGGTCGTTGCTGGAATTTGAGCAAACGCGCCACAGCCGTGCCCGCGCTGCGCCGTCCGGGCGCGCACGCTCCGCGGCACCGACCTGGCTGTCGGAAAGCAGAGAATTCCCAGTTAGTTCACACTCTGGGCCCCCCCCCTTGAGGCGCGGGGAGCCCCGGGTTTAACGTTTGAAGGCCGCGGCCCGCTCATGACCTTCCCTCCGGCCGCCCCGCGCGCTCGCGGGGTGGGGCGCGGGCGGCGGGGCTTGGCCCGACCCCGAGCTCGGCGTGGCCGGCGGCGGGGCCCGCGCCCCCTCGCGCCCGCGGTGTGTCCAGTTGCCTTCCCGGCACTCGCGGGAAGGACGAGCGCGGAGACGGGTGACTTTAGTTCCCAAGAGCAGCGAACACCGACGCGCACCGGGTGCGCCCAGGAGCAAAGGCGCCCGTTCTTCCCTCCGCGGACGGCAGCAGCCGAGGCCCCGTGCCCAGGGGTCGGTTTCGCGAACCGGGCAGAACTCGCAGGGGCTAAGGCGCCAACGACAAGACACCCCTTTATTTTAGAAGAGGGGGGAGTCCCTGGCGCGCTGCATTGCCCCGGCCACAAGAGCCCCCCAAGGAGCTCCTTGCAGATTCGAGCAGGAGGCGGGTAGGGCTCCTCCTCGAGGACGCGGCCCCGCGCCCAAGCCAGCCCAGCCGGCCCCGGCGGAGAGGCTGGAAGGGCCCCGCGCGGTCCCTCCCTTGGAGACCTGATGGGGAGCCCCCCAGACCCCCGAAGTGCCCGACTGGTGCCTGCCCGCACGGGCGGGTCCCCCGTTTCCATAAAGCGCCCCTGTGCGGGCCGCGTCCCCTCTCCATTAAAATGAGGTTGTCACAGATTGTCATTAAGACCTCAGTAAAACAATGAAGACGTTATGGGGCCCCCCTCCCCCCTCGGGCAAGGTATTAGGGGAATAAAACAATCTCCACCGCACGGGTCCTATTGAGATTAATGAAAAAATTATGCAAAAAAAATCTCAATTTCATTTCCCCGCGACAGGGCCGCGCCGGAGCACCTGATGATTTATTAAACTAATCTGCAGCGATCGCCGCTGATGTTCTCGGCTCAATCTTGTCCTGGCTCATTTTCTAAGTAATTGTTTCTCATTAGTTCTGATAATGTTTTAATAGTGTTACCCATAATTTAGCCCCTAAGAATTAATAACAGGGGGGTGATAGGGCCAAGCAGCTTGCGGTGATCTCCACAAAATGTAAACAGGTAAGGTTTTTAATTAATCAGATGGCTGCCAGGGCCCCTCTTCTGGGCCCCTCCTGGCTGGGGGCCTGGGGGCGCCACGCGGGCCGCTCCTATGAGGCCAAGTGAGACCTGCCGCTGGGCTCTCCGTCCCAGGGGGCCCCGGCCGGGGACACCGCCACCCGCCCTGGTTGCGGAGGGAAATCAGGGCTCCCAGCCTCTCCCTCTCCTGCAGTCTTGTCCGGGAGGAATGAGGCCCGGGGTCTGTGACCCGCCCACACGCTCTTGCAGGGGCCCCAGCCTCGTGAGTCCCACCGTGACTGGGCCACGGGGTTCCCAGCGAGGTGACCAATGGGACACTGGGGAGACTCGAACCGGGTGGTCGGATTTGAGCAAAGTACAGTCAGAGACAAGGGTGTGGGGCCCAGTGCAACCTGGCTGGGGACTTGGCCCCCACCCCAGGGCTGAGGGTGAATGTGGGGGCCTCGACAGGGCCAGGCCCTTGGCCACCGGGAGACCCAGGGGACTGCTGTCCCCAGGCCTCCAGCCGGCCTCGGAGGCACCTGCTAGGGAGGGCTGGGTTCTCAGTGCGCCCCTGGCTCAGTGGCCCCTGGAGGCCACTTTTGGGCTTGGGGGTGCCCGTTGAACTGGGGTGGAAGTGGGAATGCCTGTCCGTTCCTCTGGACCAACAGGCGGGGGAGGCGGCGAGGCGGAAGCAGGCCTGGAGAGGTTTTCCTTTGCTTCTTCGGCCCAAGACCTGTCCTGCCTTGGCTTTTCCTTCCAGCACCGTGAGGGGAGTGCACAGGACAGGTGGGAAAGAGGGGCGGCCTCCCCTTGGGTTCCGAGCAGTCTTCTGAGCGGGGCGCCCCTGGGGACACCCGTGGTCCTGGACACACACCTGACCACCAGCTTGGGTGGGCACCCTGAGACAAAGGCGCTGGGCTGCTTCTCCTGGCACGCCGCCCCGCATGCTGTCCTGCCGTCCAGCGTGGCCGGAGGTCGGTCAGCTCCCGCGCTGGCTCGGACGAGGATGGGGCCAGCTCCCACCTTCCGGGGCAGCTGACTCTGGGTGGCACAGGCGAGCAAGGTGAAGGCAATGATGCTCTCATGGGGGTGCAGAGGGGTGTGTGGAGGAGGACAGGGGGGGACACGTGCCCACGGCAGGCCAGGACGGCTCTTCGGGTCCCATGTTTGGGGACATTAGCTGGTGTCGCCAGACTGTGCTTTCCCGGGACCGCGCCTCTGGGATCTGTTTCGAGGGTTCCGTGCCTTGGGGGGGCGGGGGGCGCGCTGCGTGATAGCTTGGGGTCACTTCCGATTTCCTGGTATCTAACCCTCGACTCCACTCACCTCTCAGGCCCCCCCCGTAGGAACTGGAAGAGGTGGAGGGGGGCAGAGAGACCCCTGGTTGGGGCACAGCGTAGGGGCCACAGAGGAAATAAACAAAGGGCGTAGGAGGAGGTGAAAAATGAAAATAAAAAAACAACTGTTTTCTATTTACAAATTTAAATAAACAGAACAGCCTTCCCCGCGGAGTTTGTCTAAGAGTCGCGGCTTTGCTGCTGTGTAGGTCATGAAAAGGTTGGTGTAGAGTTTAAAACTTCCCATTCTGTTAATTTCTTAAAGAACAGTTGTCCAAAGTCTCAACACAAAAGCTCATGATTTAATGAGGAGCAGAAACAAAATCTCTGATTGTTGGTGTTTCAAATTTCATTGGCGTCCTCTGGCAAACACAAGTTGATCCTTCCCAGCTTCAATACCCTTTCGCCTCCACTAGAAGAGCACATGCTGAATAGGGAAGAATGGCTGGTTGTTATGTTTATTTACCCTTCCCGCAAGCTGGGTTCACCTCTTCAAAACAGCTTCACTAAGCCCGTTAACCACACCACCCAGATGACCTGGAGCTGCATCTCTAATGGGATGCAAATCTCGGAGGGGACCCTCTGCCGGGCCCCGCCGGCCTGTGTCTTCTCAGAGGCTACAAGTTTATCGCTCCCGGCCCTGTCCCGGCCGCGCTTTGACAGGGGGGTGGAGAGCGGCCTCCGTGGCAGAGTGAAGCAGGGGGAGCAGGGATGGTCTTGCATTTCCGCATATAGCGGTTTGAACGGCTGGTATTGACCCAAGGTCTTCCAGGATGAAGTCGTTCAGGGTTTCCGTCTGGGCGAAGGAGGCTTCGCTTTGGGGGGCGGGCTTCAAAGTAATCAGTTTTGAGGATTTATTTTTAGACACTATCTTTACAACCCACTCTGGTACGCCACTTTCCCTATGCCTTTCGCCTGTGTAATCAGATTCCTCGTGAAATAAACCTGACCCCTTTGTTTAGTGATGATTTTTTTTAAAAGCCTGGCTTTTCTGAAAATAATTTGTGGTGTTGATCACACAAATGAACGACATAGGAGACATTTACTAGCGTTAGCAGGGCGAAGGGAGGGCATGGATTTGGGGGAGATCTGCTTTATGACCCACTCCCCCTGGCAGCCCGTGATTCCCCCACCACCCTATCTCCCCGTGAAATCATGCGTCAGTATCTATAACACGTTCATGAACGGTACAATCGTAAGCTTGGAACCAAAAAGAAGGACTTCATGTTTGGAGAAGTAGCCGGCCAGTGAGAGGAGAAACAACAAAAAGTGATTTACATGAGTTGTGAGGGAGAAAGGCTCCAACCTGGCATACTAACAAGTCGCTTGGAGTATTAGGGTTTGTCTTTTAAGAAGCCCGCTGTATATGTTCAGCCCACCTGATGAGAGCTTCATTTAACAGATCATTTTTCCTTGATGGATGTGGCAAGCGTAACAATGTTCTGGGCTTGCTTCAGTAAAGGCATGTCGATCATACTCCCTTGGAAAGTAAAGGCTCCCTGGAAAACAGAATACAAACTTCCTGAAAGAATGCTCCGAAATTACAGGCTTCCTTTCTGCACACACTTGTACAACAAGAACATGTTAGATTCCACCTGAATTAGACTAACTTTCCTACCCAACTTTTGAGAAAGCCCAAGTAAATTATAGGGGAATGATTTCTTCCTCCCCCCAAGAGAGGAGGGAAAACTTTCTACACTTTAATAGAGAGGAAAAACCTCTGACACCAAGGTATTAGAAACTGTTCATTTAACTCTTGGAATCAAGCAGAAAACAACGGTGGAAAGAAAATGGAAATACTTCCTTATATAGGTTTTGAAGCACTGCAGTGAACTTCTAAAAACAGTACTATGCCCTGTCAACTCAGCATTTAAAAAAATAATTGTATGATCAGGTTCATGGCAAAATGCTTCCTTTTTTTTTTTCTAAAGATTTACTTATTTATGCACGCAGGAACTGGGGTACAGGCCAGAGGTGCGGGGTGTATGTGAAAGGATTCACCAGAGATAGATTAGGGAACAGAATAGATGGATCTACTGAAATACACTGCTGAGGGGAGCAGCGGGCGAGACAGGAGAGGTCTGCCGAGCCATGTGGGGAGCTCCCTGGCCGGCCGGGGATCGAACTCGTGCTGCAGAAGCTGCAGATAGCTTCATAGTGTGGTGCTTAACCCCCTGCGCCACCAGGGAGACCCAACAAAATGCTTCCTTCTTGCTGTAACTAATTGAAGCGTGACGCTTGCTGGTGATGAGAAAATGTCAGCTAGGATTGTACTGAGCAACAAGAGACTCCTCGGCTGGTCACCTGCAGAAGAAGATTGAATGACAAAGGGCAGGAGTGTGACGAAGAAATTGTTGGTCTGCTGAACGGTGACACTGGAAGGCACCTCTGAGAATTCCCGATCTACCCTCATTGCACAGATTCATTTTTTTAACCTCCTGCCAATTCTTCCTGGCTGTGTCATAAGACGTAGGTCCTGTTTCAGGTGAGGAAACCGAGGACCTGACAGGTCAAGGTGTAGTCCAAGGTCACATGACAAGAGTAATTAGAACCGGAGTTGACACTTGGGTGTCTGAGCTTCAAGCCTTCATCGTACATGCCCATCAAGAGAGCAGGGAAGTTTCTTTCATGGATCAGAAAAAGAGAATTAAATGGACAGAAGGCCGCATGCCCAGAACCTGAACTGACAGGTCTGGTTACTTGTGTCCTGCCCATCTGGGCTCACCTCATCTCCTGTTATGGAAGCCAGAGCAGGACAGGTGCGCGGTTACACGGGCCAGACCCCACTCGCTGGATGCACAACCAGGGGCCTCTGGTCATCATCATTTACTCCGCTAAGAGAACCAGGCTGTTGCCTGCAGCACAGAGTGACCTCACGACCTGCTCCCACACGTCATGCTGACCGACAGAACCTCCTCGGAACCTCTAACCAAGCTTGAGACGTTCATGAGGATCCCAGAGAGACTGAAATGAGTACCAGGCTGAAGGAAATAGGCCAAGGCCTATCTGAGGGCTGGTCAGTCATGTTCTATGACTCGCTTGATTTTGCTGGTTACAATCACAGCTCTGCAGTTTGTCTCCCTCCGCCCACCTGCTGGGAAGAAGCTGGTGTGAAGGGGGAACAGGTGGTCTTTGGCGACCTGGAGGGGGACCAGAGTGGCTCGTGGGCCCTTAGCATCTACTGCCACACACCTGTCTCTGGTGCCATCCCTCAGCACCTCTCCACGTTGCCATGAGTCAGGACCCCCAGGCTGGGTCTCTAGGGCTCTTTGGAAACCCTCATCTCCCACAAAACATGAGTCATACAGAGGATGGAAAAAAAATTAGTAGGGAGTCCTTAATCAAGACTTTGGAATTTTTCAATCATGAAGACTGAAAAGCCACTAGCATTAGTGTTTTCACCAGCGGCACCAACCTTCTCAGCCTTAGGAGAACAAGTCCAGTTCAGGGGACACTGCCATGGCCCCGAATCCTGACGCCTGAGTCACTTCCCAGCCCTGTTTCACTTCTTACACCTCAGATAGGCCTTGGCCTATTTCCTTCGGCCTGGCCCTCATTTCGGTCTCTCTGGGATCCTCATGAACATCACAAGCTTGGTTAGAGGTTCCAAGGAGGTTCCATTGGTCAGCATGACGTGTGGGAGCAGGCTGTGAGGTCACGCTGTGCTGCAGGCAGCAGCCTGGTTTTCTTAGTGGAGTAAATGATGACAACCAGAGGTCCCTGGTTGTGCGCCCAGTGAGTGGGGCCTGGCCCATGTAACTGCGCACCTCTCCTGCTCCGGCTTCCGTAACAGAGACGAAGCGCACCCAGATGGGCATGAAACCAAGATGGGCACCCAGATGGGCATGAAACCAAGGGACACACAGACAATCGAAGTGACAGCCGAGGGGCTCTGTCATGTCCCCCGAATCTGCTTTGGGTTCCACCTGCACAGCAAAGACGCACGATATTCATGTAGCTTCTCAAGATGGGGAGATCATCTCTCTGTGCTAGGGTGAGGTTTTGCTTGACTTCCTTTATTCAACTTAAGCCAGAAAACAGCATTTTTGTTCTGTTTCCCTCATCTCTGCAAACACGATTTCTGTGCTAAGAATGAGATGCTTTAATGTGAATTTCCTACTTTCACACATCAACCTAGGATACGGTTCTTGATTTTTTAACCTCAGGATCTACAGGTGCACGGGGAAGCGCCTGTTGATCCATATTTGGAAAAACGCAATTTGTCAAAAGCTACTTGGATTTGAGAGAGGGTTTGAATCATCCCATAATGAAGGCTTAGAGCTAACTTTTGGTTTCACAGCCCAATGCTCTCCTGAAAACTTGGCAAACTGTTTCAAAAAGTACAGGGCACTTCCATCAGGCAGAAGATGCAAACTATAATTTGGTTTAAAATGCCTTTCAGTGGTAACTTGTTCCTGGTTAACTACTTTAACCACCAGGACCACAGCAGTAAGAAGTTATAATTGTTTTGAGCAGTTGCTGCTTCAGAGACCGCCTTATTTCAACTTGACCTGCTCATTTCACGCATGCTCACAACACCACGGTGAGGTACAGCCTATTACCCACCCCCACTGAGCATTTTTTCCTTTTTACCTCTTAATTGCGGGAAAAAAAAAACCACAGAACATAAAAATGACCATTGTAGCCATGTTTAAGTGCATAGTTCAGCAGTGTCAGGGACACACATTCACACGTCTGTGCAACGGAGCTCCAGAACTTTCTGGCCATGCAGAACCAGACCTCGAATCCATTAGACAGATACTCCCCATCCCCCCCAGCCCCCGTAGCTACCATTCTACTTTCTGTTTCCATGAGTTTGTCTCTGTCTCCACTTTATGTCTGAGGAAACTGAGGCAGAATGCTTAAGAAATGCAAACACTGCCCTGGAGTTCTCAAGTTAGGACTGGACAAAACCTGGATCTCCCTAATCCAAAGCATGTGCTGCAGGAGCAGACTCTTTGCTCAGCACCTGAAGGTCGCCTCTGAGTGGGTTCTCTGACTGCCTGAATCAGTGTCCCCCCTACGGCGTGGTCGTAGGGGGGAGAGAATGCAAGCTGGTTAAAATACAGATTCCTGGGCACAGTGCTCTATGGTTTGATGCAGATGCCTTGGGGGACTGGCCAGGAACCCTCTGATGATTCCAATGCACCTTCATGTCGAGAATGTCTGTATTTCAGCTCCCCTGGGTAGAAACAATTAGATGGCACTGAGGTGGGTATGACTTGACCCCTGCCTTACAGGAGCTTATAGCTTGCTACAGGAGACTGGGGAGAAAAGGCAGCAGCACCACAGCTGCAACACAGATCAGAGCATGTCCGTGGAATGGGCGTGGAGAGGTGAGCGGGTCTGAGATGGCTGCTTTTTACCAGCCTGGACATCCTGTCCCGTTGGGCCTGTTCGCACAGGTGTGGCGCTGGGTACCTGCAGTGATGTCTGCACGCCTGGCTCGTGCGAGGACCTCTTCCTCCACAGTCCTACTGGGTTAGCTCGGTGATAATTCACCAGTCAGTCACGGCAGCACACCTGACCCCACACCCGTCGGTGGCCCCGGCCTCCTGGAAGGAAGGGCAGTGTCACCTGAGCAGATGCGGTTGCTGCACAGGAAGGAAAGCAGTTGCCTCTGGGCTCTAGCTTCTCACACCGTGGCCGCTGCCTGGCACTGAAACAATACAAGCTCCGTCCGGCACCAAAGTTCTTCACGGGGGAGAATGTGACTTGCAGTTTGGTGGCCAAAGCGGTGGTGGTGGTGGTGGCGGTGGTGGATGACAACAGTGATTGCATTTCTGGGAAATACCAGCGAATTTTGTCTCTGGCTCTTGGTACTTGAGAATGGAGTCTAGACACTAAACATTTCTAGAAACGCAGGTCGAGCTAATTCTCCGCCCACTCACTCGCTTCTAAAATAACTTCGTTGGGCATCCAGGGAGTTCTCTCTGGCACATCCTGACGATGGCGCTGCTGGGACTCCCCGGGGAGGGAGTCCTCTGTCAGCATGAGGGATATCATCTGAGCACGGGTGCTGGAGTCCTTCTTTGTTGGGGTGACACTCTTCTCCTCTGCGGTGCTCAGTCTTCTGCCCAACACATGACTTGCTTCCCTCGCAACGGTTCCCAGCCCAGTGTTAATTTTCTGAGTCAGCCCCAGCCATGATGAGATTCCTCTTCAGGATCTTGGTGTTGTCTTCTACTTGCTGAAATCTCCCCGGCCCAGCTGTGACTGCCCGCGACACCGCCTCCTTCCTCAGGCAGCGATCCTGGCTGCTCCTTGGAATGGGGAAGGTTTGCTCCCACGGAGACTGTGCTGCTTCACCCTCCTCTCTCTCCCATTCCTCACACTTGGGAAGGTGCCGGGCAGCCCCTCCCTCGTTCTTTCTCCTTTTATTTACGCTGGGCTTTCTCCCTGTGTGGGAGCCCTTGGGGTTGGGTCTCATCTGTCTCTGAATCCACAGAACCCAGAACTCAAGGCTGGGAGAAGAGCTCCCTCTCTGGGGGGATGGAGC